TAGAGAATAGATCAAGGCAAATAAATCATAAAATTAATTTACCTCTATTATATAATGTTCTCCAATTTGAAGGATTGAAAAATATACACATAGGAAACTCAGTTTTGAGACATAAATTCTAACATTAAACATGCAATTTATATGAGTTGTTATTGAAAAAGTTTATGAATTTAAAAAAAAAAACATGTGCAAATTACCATAGCATTTTTGAGAGCAGGATCCCAATTGTCCATAGGACCAAGAGGAGTTGAAGACCAGTCATAATTGTAGACCATGTTAATAAAATTTGAATCCTCACTCTTGCTAACATCATCGCTATTGGTCAAAGGTGACGACATATAAACTCACAAACTATTATAGTAAATATAAGCTATTTATTTAATTAAATTAATCAAGAGAAAAATAACTAATTATTAGCTTGATCTAGCAAAAAAATTTGTATTAATGTATTAATACGTATTTATAGCGTTGTTATGAATTTTCTTTTTTTTCAATATTTGATTTTATCTTGGCGAAAAGTGAAATTTCTATTCACATTTTCGCTTTTATAACTTAAATTATTATATATTAATTAACTAAATTATGGGTGAATTAAATTTTACAGTTTAAACTAAGCTTTTCATTGGCTATTATAATTAGTTTCCCCAGTTTTAACTTTTACTATTATGTACGTACGTATGTACTTGTGTATGGCTTACATAATTTTGCCTTTGCTGTGTATTGTTAGGAAAAATATTATGTAATCATTAGATATGCAGATTTTAACCATCTGCTACTGTATAATGATAATCATTACTATAATTTCTTTATTCGTAAGCTGCACTTCTATTTGTGCATGTGTTGGCTCAAATTTTCTGCAATTTATTCTATTTACCCGATCGGGTCTAGCACTGCTGACTTGGAATCGAATAGAACAAACCTAGAACTGATCTGGAAGCGAAAATAAAATCTGTACCCGGTTTATGATCACATGACGAAGATCATGCGAAACTCGATACCCTCTTCTTGATTGGATGAAATCGATGATCCTCAATAATATAATAATACTATAACTTAGGAGCGACGATATTTTAATAACTACCTATCTAAAACTAATGAAAATTTATTATTTAAACTATATGAAATCATAGAATTAAATAAAAAAATTCATCGATCTTAGACAGATATTTATTGAGTTATCTTTGTTCTAAGTTTGGAAAACTTAGCCACGGTCTTTGTTTTGATAGTCATCTAAATATTCTTTGAACGAGGATAACTCAATACTATATACCAAAAACTGATAAAGCTTCTTTACTTTGTTCTGCTGATTCATAGAATTAAAAAATAAAAAAAATAAATTAATCAATTTTAGATGGATATTTATCAAGCATCCTTTTCAAAGTTTGCAAAAACTTAGCCACGGTCTTGTTTTAATAGTCATCCAAATTTTCTTAAGCTTTGACCAAGGGTAACTCGATAGCTATATATCAAAAATCGATAATTTATTTATTTATTTTAATTCTACGGATTCATAAATTGAAATAAAAAAAAAATCTTATATGTTTTTAATAGGTAAATATTGGTTATTCCGCGTTCAAATTCCAAGGAAAATTTGGATGATTATCAAATAAAGACTGCGATCATATTTTTACAAACTTTGAACAAGGATAATTCCATAAGTATCTATAAAATCAATGAATTTTTTTTATTTCAATTTTATGAATTCTTAAAATTAAAATAAAAAATTTTATCGATTTTTAATATATAGTTATTGAGTTATCCATGTTCAAAGTTCAAAGAAAATTTAGATGACTATCCAAACAAAAATCTTTTACAAACTTTGAACAAGGATAACACGATAAATATATGTCTAAAATCGATGAAATTTTTTTATTATAATTCTATGGATTCATATATTTTAAATAAAAAAATTTCATCGATTTTACATAGATAGTTACTAAGATATCTTTGCTCAAAAAATACCTAAATTATAGTATTATTTGAGTGATGCCAAGGGAAAAGAGAACATTCGTTTTTGTTGATTATCTATCTGATAATCGACAACATATCGGGCTTTCACTAAGATGACAAATTCAAGGGTTTTAGTAGCTTATCATAATTGAAAGCCCAATGATATGGCTAGTTGTAATTTTGTCTGTAGACAAAGGGTTTAAATAGGTAATCTTCTAGTTAGGTTGCTGATATAGTAGCTAGTGTAGAAACCCAGGGCAGATTACTAATCAAAAGTCACATATATGGCTAGTTGTACACTTGTTGTATTCTGAAATAAAAACTTTTTAATAAAAAGATATGGCCAAAAAGATTGCTTTAACACTGAAAAAAAAAAACTTACTTCTATTCTAGTAAATATAAGCATACTTATGTTAGTTTGTATTTGAATTATTGGAAATTCTATTAGAAGTTACTATAAAAGATATTGTTATAAAACTTACTTTGGTAAAATAAATATATAGTAAAGATTAATTTAGTCTATATTAAAAAATTCTATTACTATAGTTAAAAGTTAGTTGTATTAAATTATTATGATTTTTGTTATAAATTATTGTAAATATTCTGTTTTAAAACTTAATATTTTTTAAAAGAACTCTTCCCATAGATCACTTTACCAAAATAGAAACAAGAAGAAAAAACTTTACTGTGACTTTTTCTCAAAAACTTACTAAGTAAATTGATATCCAGCTTCTAAGTAAAGTTGTCCAGCACCTCAAAAACTATCTAAAAGAGGTGAAATCTCTCTAAAAAATCTTATCTTGACAAGCCAGTAGCAATAAACACCTCAAATAGCAAAAAAAGCAGTTTTTTAATCCTCCCGCAAAAGTGGTCTTAAGGACCTCTTACTTTCTAATAATCTAAAGCAAACTATTAATAGTGCTGTAAGCAAAAATAGTCAGAAACAGCAAGTACCATATTCCAATAGACCCCAAAACTTCACTGAAAACATGGCATCAGAAAGCTCTTCTTATATCTTTAATTATTTTTCTCGATCTGCAAAATCTATATAACCTAAAGATACCATTACTAGTAGCTCATCCCCAAGCTCAGGCACAAAACACATCAAAAATTTTTTAAGCATCATTATTAAGTACTGGTCCAAACTTACCTTTATTGTCAGCTTCTCTATTCCTGAACATGCTAACACCTTCGTCTTCTTTGTCAATATTACCAAATCAGGAAAATTACTAACTTGACCAATTACCTATCCCAGTAAATTTGCAAACATAATAACTCTGCCCAATCAGTTCTATTTGATCTCACTACACAGAAAAACAATATTGTAAACATTAGCGCCAAATATCCTAAATCTACACATAATAGTGATATTACAATAATAACAAACTACTACAAAAGCAATATGAAACCTTATATGAAAGCCAAAAACAATGCAAACTTATTACTAATCCTGTACAACAGTATTACAAACCTAGACTCAGATAATGTGTCAAACAAAAGCACCAATAAGCTTGTTGCACATACAATAACCACTACTAGCCCTAACTTACCCATGACTCAAACACAGAATATACAAATAATAGTACAAAAAGTAGTCATACAGATTCTGTATTATCTATAAACAAACTCCCTAGTACAGATAGTACAAGTAATTACAATACTAATAGTATCACCAGAATTAATGTACCTAGACCTAGTACACCCACCAAACAAATAACTCAACCTATATTTACCACATCCACCTTAATCCATACCCCTGTTAATACTATAGCCAACCTTAGCTCTAATCATAAAAGATCCAGAAACATGTCTAATATATCTTCACTTATTACTTCTACAAACAAGGCCACCAAAGCGATATGTGAAGGTACCTCTATGCCAATT